TTGTCATGAATCTGATGCTAATATCTCAAGTAAGGTCATGTTAACATCCATAGTAATTTAGTGTCTCATCTTAGTCATTTTAATATTTTTGTCCAAGCCGAATGCTCCGAAATATATGTTCAAAAATCCCTGTGAAATTTTAGTCTCTTCCTGTTGCCGTATATTGTGACGTTCAGATATTTAATCGAAAGTAATCATTATGATCACTGAAGTCTCTAAATTGGCAACGCAGGTTGAAATTTGCCATTTTCTCTCCTTCCAAATTGTCAATCTCCCGTTTATTTATTTATTTAAGCATTTTCATTCACAAAGTTAACTTAATATGTTTTGGGGCTTTTTTTTTCCAACTTTAAAAGTGTAAAAAATATACGAATAATTGTTACTACATTGAGGAGGAAAAGCTGTTTCATTTGGACCTTTTGAAAACTGAGAGCTTATGAAAAATGCGTACGATGAATGCTTTTAGTGCATTGAAGCCCATTTATTTACTAAAGTACTAAGTAAAATACAGTAATCATAATAGAAAATAATGATATATTTTAAACAAATCCCATTATTAAAGACATATTGAAGAATCAGTAGTGGAATTCAGTCAACTGTTATCACAGAGGGGATAGCACGTATGCAAATATCGGAATATGCATGTATATACATGTATATATTTTGAGTATGTGGACGTCTTCCAATCCTAATAACTATCATATACACTTTACACATACCAGAATCTTGCAACACGATTGGTCAAATTGACGCCACATGATACATGTAGATTTTGTATCCTAATGGGAGAAAGGTACAATGTATTCAGTATGGATTTTTGTTCACACTTGCTACTTGTACACATAAACGATATACATGTACAAACATTAAGGTGCACAAAAACTGTCTTTGTGAACGTACATGTATCTAAAACTAAAAGATAATAATGATAATGACAATGATGATGACGATGATGATGATAAGAAGAGGAGGTAGAAGAAAAATGTGAAAAAATGATAATATAGTCAACATAAACAATAGGGAATTTAATGAGTTCATATTTTGCGAAAGCCTTCGAAACCCTTAAATAGACCCCTTTTTGGTTTACCACATCGTTGAAAAAGATATTGGTATTCAATAGATCACTTATCTTTACTGTCATAATTTTAGACTAGAACATGTGGGTGTAAATAGGTTAGGGTAATTGAATCAAGGGTGTTATCGATGTGGGATTCAAAGCAAATAATTACCTTCTTTTAATATTCGGGCGTTTGGATCAACAATCCCCGTCTTGGTGCTCTCAAGGTTACACCTTTTTTCATATCGCCAGAGGCGACTTGTGATTCAGCATTTGCTTTGGCGAAAACTGTTCGGAACTTTATTTCTTAAAAAGTATAAGGTCGAGGTTAGGGTTGTACTTCTGTTTCAGTAAGGTTATGTTTTTAGGTAAGGGTCAGGGTTAGGGTTTTTATCTAATGCCTTTTTAAAGGGCTACGGTAAGTTCGGTTTATATCCACTTTATTCAACTTTGACAATAACTTTACTTTTTTTTTTTAGTTGAATGTATAGACATAGAGAAAAAACTGAAATGACATATGACCTCAGCTTACATAACGTAAAGCCATTTACGGTCGAATTTCTAAATGAATTGTAAAATTTACACATCAATTTCAATGATAATGCCAATGATTTTTTGACGCAACTTATTATGAGATCTTATACATCTTGTACACTATAGCTCCGTTAACATAACTTCATGTACATTAAGTAATGAAGGAAATTATATACGGTATGACTAAAATTCATATGACTTACAATTTCCCCGCATTGAGTATCAAAGCAATAGCATATACAGTAGTCGGATAAGTCGCTACAGTGAACTTAAAATGGTTATTTTGCATGCTCACGGTATCTATTAATATTATTTGTTTACGGGGTTGTCATAAAATATGATCTACACTAAATTTGGATCTCTGTCCATCTTTTGCGTTATGTATTTTGATAAATGCATGAGACCTAAATCACAGGTCGTGTAACTTTCTTTTACTCATTTTGAATGGGACGTTTGCCTATGACCGTTGCATACGTGACGTCATATTGCTGACGTAGGACTGCGTTAACGAATGGTCCTGTTTTCTGACGTCCCATTTCAGAGTCATATCGTACAAAAAATGAATACGAAATGACCAGCGCAGATCTCAGGTTGCATTACTAGTATAGCCATTGGACTAATTATTCGTAGGCTTTATTAGTGCAATCGAAATGACTGCAACCGGCATAATACGCCTTTATGTGACAAGGCAGGGAAATACCACTTTGCAAAAGGTTTTTTTTTTCTTCAAATATGTGCTAAACATTTCTATACCGTCATTTATGTTTTTTAAACCAAAATGTATTCCTTAGATTAATATATTTTAAATGAAAATCCATCCTTAATAGCCAATTATTATGAGTGGAAGCAGAAAAATTAGAAAAGTAGACTGGTTTTATAAAGGCTGATCGAAATCGGACCAACAATAAGAAAGTTATGAATTTCCGAGTGCCGGACATCTTTCCAACTCGTTCCAACACCAAAAAATGTATTTTGTTTTAAAGGTAAAGACCAGTTATGGTCATGCGATTGAATTGTGAAAGAAACGTTGTGGAATCGATCAGAAAAGGTTGATCATCTAGCATCTAGCATCTGCAAGGTTCTGGAATCATCAAAATGATAAGAAATTTGGCCCATTCTTCGTAAAGTTACAAACACTATACACAGAAAGATGTATATGGGACTACCCTATATCTCTCACAGGACCATGAGAGAAACAAAGTTACCAAATATATGAATTAGTAGGCGGTTTCCCGGCAAATTTTTTATCATCATGTATTTAATAGTCAAAACATATTCTTTCACATGATTGGTAATGAGAGCTTCCATTTCATTTTTTGAAATTGGGGCGTTACCAATACTGGTCTTTACCTTTAAATGTATGATTTAGAATAGTCTTTTCTTTTTAGAGGACCTGTAATAATATGCTAACCATAATAGATTGTGAGTAGTTCCCCAACCGAGAAAGTGCTTAGGAAAAAAATATATGTTTTTGTTCACGACAGACGGGCAATTCGTAATCTCCAGTTTGAGATTCGCACAGATGTTGTGATTTCATATTTCAAACTTTCATAACTTTTTAATAATTGTCCGATTAATTTCAAACTTTTGCAATTTTTTTCCCTTATGATTATTTGTGTCTTACACATGAAAGCACATAGGTTGGAGCGCCCTTAAATAATTAATCTAGCGATGTGCTGTGATAAACAATTAGACTGCTTTAAAAAGGTAGAATAATATATAGAACTCAAATATTACAATCTGGAATACACAAATAATGAGTAATAAATGAGCCTTGAAAGATGCCCTGTTTTCTTATGAAAGTCCGTGTAATAATTATATGACAATATAGACAAATAATGCAATTCGACTACCGCGCACGTGGAATTTCCCTCGTTGTCATCATTTGGTTGCCTAGTGCATTTTAAAATTACTTAATTTACTCAATTATTCAATTGCAATCGCTAGTGGACCCGGCGTTGTGACAGGGACGTCTGACGAAGCAGGCTAAGTTGATCCTGATGTTGGCGTCGTCATGGTACCATTACCGAAGAAATTGGATGTTAAGGGAGAAATGGATTAAAAGTTGAAAAACGAGGGTTATCTCCATGATGAACGATTTGCATTTTATATTCGTAAAAGGTTAAATAAACTGAACGCAAATTATTTTTGTCTTCGAATATGGTCTTTGGGACAAGGCTAATAATTTTCAAAAAGTCCAATGATAGAATGTTAAAAAATAACAAAATATAGCCTGGATCGGTCTAGGTGAGTGAGAATGGGTATTGTGTATATTTGCTAAAAGAGAATGTTTACGATCAATTTGGAGAGGTGAACATGCACGTGTTAACCATCATTACTGGAAGCCATCAAATACACTGAAAAATATTTTTAAATGTGCCCGCTTTTGTTTAAGGACGGCCATGCACCTGTCTGATACATTGAATCATATTTTGTTATGCTCTTGGATGCCCCCCCAGCTATGGTAGACAGAGTATTACAGTGCTCTCAGAAACCATGGAAACTGAATCGGTCTATAAGTATCTTACCACATTGCCCATCACCACATGTGTATGTGACTTGCAAGTAGGCCTCAGGGTTCGAAAGGCATGGGTGGCCAAGCAAATAACCTCGCGCATGAGCATAGCAGCTTCGCCTGTTTCTGCACCATCTGTGTTGCAGGAGATACGTAACATCTTCGAAACACATGCTGGAGGTATTGGAGTCGTCACTTGGACATATGGTGCTGTTATTCCGCCCGTAAAAGGCGCTGCAGATGACGACATTTTCCGGTGTACAGTCCAGGTGCTTGAAATGATTTTTACACACAGGTTCCAATTGTCCTAGAAAGGTGGGAAATTAAACGAGCAAAAGTTTGCTTTCTTTTTTTTTCTTTCACCGGGAGTAAGATTTTGTAAATTCCTGCTTTTCCTCCTAGAAACGCTCGGCGGGCGGGGTCTTGATAAATTTACGGAATACTGCCCGCCATCCCACATTAGCTAAGTAGGGAAACTGGGATAAGAACAAAATAATCCTCACAATAATATCCCTCTTTTCAGGTGGGGGTACCGGCCCCCTTTAGTTCCCCTGTCCACCTATACTCCTATATAGGGGAATTTTCATTAATGACAATTGCTCCAAGTACATGTTTCAATGTTTTTTTTAATGTAGGCTATAGTAGTAGAATTCGTTATTTTTCTAGATTTATAATGAAAGGACATGTACAATCTTCGTATCTTTAAGGTTTCTTTGGGCCACCTGGGGCGGGGGGGGGGCAGTTGAGGGTGATCAGCTTAGCGAGAATATTTTATCCTTTTTTTTCTTTAGAGGGGCGCCCCCTTTGGCTCCGTGAATCTCCCTAATTATCCTTATTTATTGGTATGATCATCAATGGCACTTGCTTTGAATGATTTGAGATTGTGACAAGTGTTTATTGTTTGTATTTTGTCCGTGTCTCGAATGTACAGACATAAACGAGCTTCGTATCGTAGCCTGTGATAGGTATCGTATCGTATCTTAGTTTAGACATAGGTGCCAACATACTTGGTGGTGTCGGTGTTGCCATCGGTGTGGTTGTCGGTTGTGTCGTTGTTGTCATCTGCTTTGTGGTCGGACCATCTGGAGTATATATGAACATGTCGTAAGGAACAAAATTATAATAAAAATATGTCGGACTTTTTACGTAAGACAAGGGAAACGCTCTCGGCGGTCTCGCCTGCATAACGCAATTCAATATGATAAACCAGAACGTCAATGACGTAGCGCTCATCCGCATCTCGCAACAACAAATATCGTAAATTTTATGTGGTACACTTTTGAACTGGTCAAAAATAAAAATTTGATGCCCTGGAAGGTACATAATTTCATTTCATTTGCATAAAGTACCATAAATAATCAATGGAGCAAAATCTCACAATTCTGTGTAGAAGTTTAGTGTTCCAAATTTAGCTCTACCAGATAAGGCAAACCAAATCAAAATCGGTCAAGAAATGAGGGAAAAGAAACAATTTTTGTTATTTTTGGAATAAATTTTGCATAAATTACCATAATTAATTAATGGAGAACAATTTCAAAATTCTGTGTAGATGTTTAGTGTACCAAAGTTAGCTCTACAATATAAAGCAAACCAAATCAAAATCGGTCTAGAAATGAAGGAGAAGAAGCCTTTTTTGTGATTTCGAATAAATTTGCATAAATTAGCATAGATAATGAATTTCACGATTCTGTGTAGAATTTTAAATCCCCCTCCTAGCCCTATCATATGAAACAATCAGAATCAAAATCGGTTGAAAAATAACGAAGAAGAAGCATTTTGAAAATCTTGATGTTGATGCCACAACAAAGTCTAAGTTTGTTGACCTTAAATGACCTTTGACCTTAACTTAGTGACCTGAAATTCTACTAACATGATTGGGGAGACTTGATTACCCTATAGTCCAAGTTTCATTGACTAAGAACTTATACTTTCAAAATTATATCAAAAATTCAAAAACTTAACCTTAGGTTAAGTTTTTGATGTTGACGCCGCCGTCGCCGTCGCCGTCGCCGTCGCCGTCACCGGGTCGCCGTCACCGGAAAAGCGGCGCCTATGTCTCGCTTTTTTGCTACGCAGGCGAGACAAAAATGGGTCAAATACTTTCTAAAACAGAATATTAACCAACAATGGTTACAATTTTAACCAACGGCCCATGTAATTTTAACCAACATCATGTGAATCAGCCCCGAACAAAGCATAAATAACCAACAAAAGGTTAAAGTTTTAATAAAAAAAAAAAGGTTAAATTTTAATCAACAGGCCGTTGGTTAAAGTTTAACCAACAGTTGTGTGATTCATATGGTAATCCGTGGTTGATTAAAATTATAACCAAGTTTTTTTTTTTTTTTTTTCTTCATTTTTTGGACCCTCCAACAGGCCATTTATTGATAATCAATCTCAAGATAACATATTTGAACACATGTTCCAATGAATATCATATAATATTTCAGAATAAGATATACATAACGAATATCAACCATAATACTGTATACAGAACATACATGTAGATTAGGGAAAGAAAAACAAAAAATAAATAAAATGCAACATCATGACTGAAAATGATGTGGGAAATTCAATATACTCCTATTAAAGGATCAAAATCCTCTCAAAATTTATCCATTTTTTATCGAATTTGTCAGTTTTGTTAGCAAATATACTAACTTGCCTCTCATTTGTGTAACTATTCTTGATATTTTGTTTTATTGTCCGAAAGGACGGTACAGACTTTTGTATTCTAGAAAAATATAATTGTTCTTTAGTCCAAATTATTATACAGTTTAAAGCATCATTTCTTTTTTCAATGAAACCTAACAAAACATGTATTAAGGACAGTTTTATTCTACAGCGTGTTACAATAGTTAACCAGTCAGTCAAACAACTCCAAATCAATTTGGTAACGTTACAGGAGTAAAAAAAGTGTACCATATCTTCTTCTTCTCTTCCACAAAGGGAACAGTTCTTATTTAAAATTATGTTAATTTTTACAAGATCTTTATTCAAATATAGTATCTTATTCAAAAGTCTGTACTGAAAGTACCGAACTGTTGTATGCGTTGTACAGCGAAACATAACCCTAAAATAATATTGCATATATTTATCATCAAATAATAAACCATCTGCATGCCATCTATTACATAATTTATTCAAATGTTCATCCTTTTCTTTTAACATAATTTGATAAATATGTCTACATCCTTTTTCATCTTTCAACAAGCATGAAATATATGCAGGGCACAATGGTCCATTTACCTTCATATTACAACTTTCCAATTGGGACTTGTATTTGCATTTAATTATTTGACAGAGTGCATAATAATGAAGAAACTGTATTTTGATTGAAAACTTATTTTCACACTCTTCTCTTGCTAAGATGTGTCCTTGATCATCTAATAAATCGTTTAAAAATCGAATACCTTTATCACACCATTCTTTTAAAAATATACCCTTTCCTCCAATTTTAATCTCAGAATTATACCAAATAGAAATAGCTTTCCAAAAAGGAGTAGTAGTACATTGAACCTGGCGGACAAAATAAGCTAGTATTTGGAAAAGTTATTTCCAAAAACAGTTTCTTAGCATAAATGATAATTTAGTGAAATATATATCACCTTTACCCCATTCCAATGATGATAGTGGACGTAAGAAAGCGTACATTAAATGGGTAACGTCTTCACATGAGTTCAACAATATTCTTCTAATCCAGGTCAGTTTCAAAGCTCTAGAAAATTGTACAACATCAACCATTTTCAATCCACCATTTTCGTAAGAACAAACCATCTGTTTTCTGCTAATCTTATCAGGTTTCCCTTTCCAAATGAATTTAAAAAAAGAGACATTTATTGCTTTTAAAAGATGTTCAGAAGGGTTAGGAATGGACATAAATAAATGGTTAAATTGCGAGACTAGCATTGATTTCACCAAGACCACGCGACCAAAAACAGAAATGTTACGTTTCGACCAAGATATCATTTGCCTTTTTAGTTTATCAAATATTCTGTCGTAGTTGAAATCTGGAAGCTTTTCTAAATCAATACCAAAGTCTATTCCCAAATACCTTATGAATCCCCCGTTAACCAACGATATGTCAGTCCCATGAACCTGATGTAAATCAATATTTACAGTTTTTTTCAAGGAACCGATACACAATATCTGTGTCTTATTTATATTAAGATTTAAACCTGAATACTGAGAAAAGAACTCCAATAGCTCCAGAGCATACTGTAAACTTTCTGTACTATCGAGACACAACACTGTATCATCAGCGTATTGTAATATTCTATATTCCTTGTTTTATATAACTAAACCTTTTATCTTGTGGGATTTTCTGACCAACATGCCTAAAATTTCTGCACATAATAAAAACAAATATGCAGAAAGCGGATCTCCTTGTCGGCAGCCCCTTTTAATATTAAAACGCGAGGTTAAACAACCGTTAATTAACACATTTGAAGCAGAATTCGAATATAGTAATTTGATCCATTGGATAATTTTATCCCCGTAATTAAAGAAATGTAATACATTCCATAGAAAATCATGTGAAACACAATCGAACGCCTTTTCAAAGTCAATAAAAAGTAATATCCCAGGAATATTTTTATGATCTGCATAAGAAATTATGTCATAAATTATTCTGATATTCTCTCCGATGTATCTACCGGACAGAAAGCCTTTCTGATCTTTATGTATGTTTTCGTCTAACAATGGTTTTATTCTGTTTACAATGCAACTAGAAAGAATCTTATATTGGACATTGAGCAAAGATATAGGACGCCAGTTTTTAAGTAGATTGCGAGGTTTGTTACCTTTAGGTAGTAGGGTTATAATTCCTAAATTTTGGAAATGTGAAAATCTTCCACAAACATATGCTGCGTTCAAACTCCTCATTAAATAAATCCCTATATCTTTAAGAAAAAACTTGAAAAACTCTGCAGTAAACCCATCCTGTCCGGGTGATTTACCAAGTTTTAAGTTACCAACAACTTTGCTAATTTCTTTAAGGCAAATTTCTCTACCCAACTCCTCTACTTTTTCATCTGAAATCTTGTTATGATCTGTTTCTTCCAGATCATGTAATATATCTTGAAAATCTGATACCTCTCGAAATCCATAAAGGTCTTCGTAAAATATTTCCACCTCGTTCTTAATTTCCTCTTCCGTATTCAATATTTTATCATTTTTATCAACAAGTTGAATAATTCTCTTTTCTACACGCCTTTGTTTCATAAGGTTATAAAAATATTTGGAAGGTTTTTCACCATATTGTAATTCTTGTAGTAAAATACTTTCCTCCTTTCTTTTAAGCTTTTCCTTTCTTTCATTTGTTCTAATATGCTATCTTTATCACTAATGCCCAAATTCAACTTCAATTCCAACTGTTCGATCTTGTCCTCTAATTGTTTTTCTATTTTATCAATTTCTTTTTTCTTATTTACTCCATATATAATAGTACATGCTCTCAATTCCATCAAAAGAATTTCAAAAAAAACTTGTTCATTGAGAATAAATTTACAACTGTTTTTGTCAATATCCTCAAACCTTGTATCATCTTGTTCATTTTTTTCAATATAATCTAAAGTGATTTCTTTTATTTTATCCTTTACATTTTGTACATATTGCTCTTCCTTTAAGAGAGAATTGTCAAACTTCCAATATTTGTGTCTCTTTATACCAGTACAGAACATAAGATCCAAACTAATCCCTGCATGATCAGATCTATAGCTATTATTAATTTTACAATCTGATACTAACGAAAATAGCTGGTTTGATATCAAAAAATAATCTAGTCGCCCTTCTTTTAAAGGACTAGGTTGTCTCCAGGTAAACTGTTTTATGTCTGGATGGGTACAGCGCCATGGATCAATTAAATGAAAACTGTTCTTCATTTCCAAAACTTTGCGCTGAGCATTTTTATTATTTAATCTAACGTAATTACAAGAGTCCGAATCAAAATCTTGAAGTAGGTTCCAATCCCCACACATAATTACAAGATCTCATATGGAGAGGTGAAGAGAGAGAGAGAGAGAGAGAGACAAATTGGCAACTCACTGATGAGTCTGTGACGTCAATGCCTTACTATCCACTATTTTTTTTCTTTATATTGATAACATAAATTTCCTATTTCCCCCCTAAGAATCTTATTTCTTCACACCAGCATCCAAGTTAGATTGATAATGATATGTTTTTGTTTGGATGCACTAATATAGAGTAATTTTTTCAGTTAAATCATGAAAAATGTGAATTTTGATAAATTATATATGTGAAAATCAATAATTATGAATAAGCAATATTCAGAAAATAGTATCAATTCTTCAAAGTTCATAAAAGATTTTGTGAAATGTCATGCACGCAATATGATACAAACCTGGGCAGAGGCATGTGAAAAACAAGTTTTGGGGGATAAAAAGGGAAATTAATGGGATTCAAATATATAAAGCAATTGATAAATAGTGAGGACATGCCGTCACAAACTGATAACCAAATTGGCAATTTGTGTAGTGATTTCCATTGTTCCATGGTTTTACATACTTTTTCAAAAATTCATTACTTTCCTATTAGTTATCCGATTCAGCTAGATCCTCGAGTGTCATTGTATATTTGTATAACATATTGCAGTTGACAACAGCCTGGCTCAACAGTCGCAAGCAGAAAGTTGTTACCCAGGGAGCCAAATCTAGCTGGAGACCTGTTACCAGCTCTGTAGTACAAGGATCAGTCATGGGACCACTGTGCTTCCTGATATACATGAATGACCTCGAAATTGGGCTAACCGACAAATCAACAGTTAGCAAATTTGCTGATGGCACCAAGCTAATCCATCCAGTGCAAATAGACAATGATAGAACAGACATGCAAAACTCCATCAACCACCTTCACAGATGGGCAAATACATGGCAGATGAGATACAATGCAGACAAAATATGTGGAGTGATGCATTTTGGAACCCACAACCCACACTACACATACACGATGGGCAACTCCCAGCTGAAAGAAAGTACAGAAGAAAAAGATCTAGGGGTTCTAGTACACAAGTCCCTGAAAGTTGCCTCCCAGTGTGCTGCAGCAGCAAATAAAGGAAACAGGCCACTAGGAATGATCAAACGCAACTTTACATTCAGGAGTAAGGAAGTGATCTTAAAACTGTACAAATCACTCGTAAGACGCCACCTAGATTACGCCATTCAGGCCTGGTGTCCCTACCTGGAAAAAGACAAAAAGAAGTTGGAAAAAGTTCAAGCAAGAGCCACAAAACTCATTCCAAGTATTCATCATCTACCGTATGAAGAGAGATTAGCAAACCTGAAACTATTACTACTTTGGAGAAAAGAAGAGAGAGAGGAGACCTACTGCAAACCTACAGGATAATGACGAAAATCGAAAAATCCAAACCCGGGAATTATTTTCAGTTTGCTAATTATGAAAGAACAAGAGGCCATTCCATGAAGCTAGCCAAAACAAGAAGCCGCCTTGACATCAGGAAAAAAAATTCTATAGCCAGATAGTTGTAAGCAAATGGAACAAGCTGCCACAAACTGCCATTGATGCTCCCACACTCCTCAACTTCAAACGACAACTATCCAACCTGAGTTTTTAAATGGGTCCCATGGGACCCATTAACCCTGCCACACCACACTATCTACTGGATCTTCATCATCACGATGGCGAGGTGTGGCCTTCAAGTTATATTCAAGGTTTATTCAAGGGGTAATAATGCCCATTAGCGAGACCACCGGCCGCCGCCTGCGCTTGCCGGTCTTTAAATCTTCAGTAGATCAAGATGGATTCTCATGATACCGACCCAGACCTACCAAGTCTTACGCCTATATAGCTGGTCTCTTATATTTTTGTTTTGTATAGTAGAATAATAACAGTTCTGTTCAATGTGCATTGTGTACGTTTGTAAACACTACATGTACATAATAATTGTTTACATTGTGAATTTCAGAAGCGTAATTTTATTAATTTTACATTGTCAACAACTTAAAAGGTAATCCCTATCGCACTTCAAAATGCTCAAGGGAATACAGTAATTATTTTACAATACTTGTTTATAGGAGTACACTGAGTACACTCAGTACACTGAGACCCCTGGTATTTCCTTTGCATGAGGAGTCCATTTAACGTCCTATCCTAGGGACGGTGTGTTTCCACTGTAACCCACCCGGCGTCTTTGAAACAGGGTCAGAGTATTTTTAACACACAGTCATCCGACTTGGTTGGATTCGAACCCACGATCTTTTGTTCGACAGGCAGACGCCTTACCGACTGAGCCAACTCGGAAACAGTGTGCCCACCCAAAGAAGAAACTCAGAAACAAACCACAATTATAAGAAAACTACAAGCTGTAAATTAATGATTTCTGGCTTTGCATACAGTAATATGCTCTCAAGGGATACCAATCCATTACTGCTTCGCATAGCAACATTGTTTTAAACACGGGATGTTTAGATCCATTTGTGCAACTTTTTTGTTAAAATAGGGAAAACGTTTTGTGTCACATGCGAACATGACGTTAGGGAAATAATCATAACCATATACACAATGATTATGCAAGATTTCTTTCATATAATGATTTGCATTTCAATTAATAATCAGTTACTTAAAATATCGGCAAATTCCCATTTTCGGGATGACAGGAGCGTACAGCCTCATATTTTCCCAAAATTAATCAATAAAAGAAATGCTCATTTATTGATTGAAAATGGTACATCTTGCGATGAAAATTACAAACCAAGTATTCAGATGATTTTTGTCCTGCCTCATGTGTCCATTAGACGAGATATTACCCTCATTATAAAAATGTAAATTGACTCTTACTTATTCTTTTAAAAATATAATCGGACCTTCTTCTTTGCTCTTTTAAAAAGTTGCAGTTCTAAAAGATGCTAATATTAATGTCATCAGGATCAGGTGTATAACGATTGTCATCGACAGTATCTCAATTATCTATATTTCATGATGTTGGCAATAATGTCGCCCCCATTATTTAAAAAAGCACATGAAAATCTTCTCGTTCGGTGTTAAAGATGAAGTTGAGTTCTGGTCATGCGATTGCATTGTGAAAGAAACGGTGTGGAATCGACCAGAAAAGGTTGATCATCTAGCATATAAGTATTTGTGTGTATTGCAAGGTTCTGGAATCACCAAAATGATAAGAAATTTGGCCAAGTCTTGGTGAAGTTACAAGCACTGTACACAGAAAGATGTAAGGCGTAAAGAGCCATGCTTTTCAGGTAACATATTTCATCTGATGTTCTTCCACACTTGCATAATAACAACGATAACGCTCACAAATTATTTTTCGCCTCTTCCCAGAACTCAACCTTCTCTTTAAGCTTCATGTCATGTTCCCTGCTTCACCCAAATCCGGCACAAATGGATTTCGAAATTCTATTTTCAGAATAATGTTCCTCAGTAAAACAAGTATGGGTGAATATCATCAGTGTATCATTTGAAAGCATATCGTACTATATGAAAGGCAAGGAAATATATTTCCATACAGCTCATATTATGTTCACCATATCCGTTCGTTTTCGGGTTTAGTTTTTTTCTTGGGACGCGCTGTATATTTATCATGCCTGTATATATGATATATTGTATTAAATATATGTATATATGTATATATATATATATATATATGTGTGTGTGTGTGTGTGTGTGTGTGTGGGTGGGTGTGGGTGTGTGAGTGTGTGTTTTAGTATCTCTATCACTTTTGGACGTTTCAACATACCGGGTGGCGATGGGGTCATCGGTGTTGTCGATGGCATCATTGTTGGTGTCATCTGAGTTGTTGTCGGTGTTGTTGGTATTTCTAATTTATAAGCAAAGTACAATTAAAAAATACTATTCAATTTTCTGTACAATAACTCCGACTCAATGTATAAACGTATACATGGAATAAACGGGGTGCTCCATTAAAAACCGACGCATGGATACATACATGTTTAGCATTATAGAAGGCTAGCACGGGCCGGGTGAACTTAGTCTGATTACGTTATTCGAATCTTAAAGCAATGCAACAAATGGAGTTGTCAAAAGACTTAACTCCGTTTCTTTGACGATCAGCCATGAACAAAGAAGACGAAAGACTTGAAGCAAGTGAACACGAATTCGTTTAATCAAATTATGGGAATGCAAGCATTACTTTAATTTTAAACCAACAGAACTTTGTTATTCCTGGCTCATTTTTCCTGATTGAGGTGTCATATGAAAGGGCAGAAAATGAACTTTCTAGAAATTTGATTTTCTTTTTGAAATTCAGATACCGCCCTAAAAATGACTTTTTAGCTTCCTCTCTTTAAATTGTTTTTAATCATTCATGCGTGAAATATGCATCATATGAGTTGCATCAAATGAAAGAGGATCTAAGCTTTACAAAATCTAAATATGTGTCATTTATTAATTATAAATTTGATTAAGTTATGATAAAACATCGATAATCCTCGGTTTCTTTTTTTCTGGGACGCACTGTACTTGCACTATGTGCGAGAGGGGGAGGATTGGGGAGTCCTGAAAATGACTGGCAGTAATCTTTCTTGAGCTTATATTTCTAAAGAGAACTATATAGCGTCGGTTGAATTACTGACAGTCCTTTGCAGGACTCCCCAATCCTCCCCCCTCTCTCTCACATGTTTCAACCGTCAGCCTACTGTATAACATTAATAGCGATAATAATAATGATTATGATGATAATGGTAAACAAATTTATGATTATAACAAATGGTAATAATAATAAAATATTAATAATAAATATTATCTCAGCCCGGCACTAACATCCTTTGGCAAGACGTTAATCCGCGTTAGCCACTCTCCAACCAGGTGTAAATGAATACCTGGCAATCGCTGGGGGTAATGAAGAACGGCATTGAAGCTGTATGGTGAGGCTTCCCTAGCGAAACAAAATTATCGTGATCATTATTATCATTATTATTAAAATAATTATTATGAATATCATTATTATTCATTATTTTTTATTGTTTTACGTACCTGTCGTGCAATTAGGTGCACCAGGGGACCAACTTGCAGTAATTGCTGTATTGTTCTGTTCACAGACGACCAGCAGGTCCAAATGATTGGCTGTATAGCCCGCCATGCAGGTGTACGTATATTCTTCTCCAGGAGACCCTTCATCTATCAAGACACTCTCCGTATTGAAACCCTCTGGCGGTGCACCGCACTTTACCCCTGTTTAACGTGAAGTATGAGAAGTGGATGCATAATTAACTACTACTTTGGCGATGGGACAAACTATGATCGTAGAGGAGATCTCAGGGCTACTTTCTTCCCGAGCTGAAGGCGAGGTAAGATGGTAGGCCTATAGCCCATGAGATCACCTAGGCGATGATAATTTGCCCATCCGCTGGATCAAAAGGAAATGGTTATTGGACACCCCATTATGACAATACTATAACGTTTACTAGAGGATATATATATACATGGCATGTATTTATTGTATTGTATTGATCTTAATTCTAATTCATGTTCGTGCCACTATAGTGCACTGTACTGTATATACACTGCATGCTACTTTTGCAAACGAGAAGGTCTTCTTGCTCATTGCTGCAAATCCGAGGAAATTTCCTACGAGTATCTAACATCGACTATTTCGCAAAACTATCAATTAGCCTAGGTCACATTTACTCTACGGCTAGGTTACGGCGGCTGAAGAGAGAATGGCTAGCAAGAATCAGATTCTGCTTGTACTTAGTATCGGCTTGCATGGTGATGTAGATTTACAGTAGGCTTGCAGTTGCGCCATGTGAGAGAGGGGAGGGTTGGGAGTCATGAAAAGGACTCTCGGTAATATTTCTTTCTTTAGTGTATGTAGTCCTGAAAGGGACTGTTGGTGTAGTCTTGAAAAAGACTGTTTGGTTACGATGGCCTCGAATTGTCGGGCGCATCATTATAGGTCACGTTTGCCGCCGCGGCCGTGCGGTCTAAAATATCTGCGGCCAATTGCAATTATAGGACCGCCGCAGCATTCCCACGAAAACATACGGTAGCGGTCGTATTATGTTAGGGTAGCCGCAAGACATATTTTGAATTTGTGGAGACTGAAAATCTGCGACTGCCGTACGGCCTTTGAAATGATGACGCACGGTCACCTTAGGGCGTCCCTGCGGCGGCTGTAGCCTTTTGACAAATACTAAGGCAGACGCAAGGTAGCCACACGGCGGCCGAAGGGGAACCATACGGCGACCATGCGACAAGGCTGCATGATGCTACCGCTTCACCCCTGGAGTATATATAACGCAAGGCTACCGTACGCCCGACGTACGGTCGCCTTGGAACCGCTCTACGGCGTGTCTAATCGCTACAGTGAACCTAGAAATGAAAGCAGTTACAACTCCGCGTTATAATCCCACGGCTACCCGTACGGCATGTGAAGATAGGTATACGCCCTAGGCCTAGGGTGACCCTGAGGCCACCGCAGATTCTATGCGGCCGCCGCAAGTATCTTACGATTTTGGGGGCGTACGGCCGCCGCATCCTAACCAAGGCTCAAATTAATTTTTTGTCCACGGGGGCTCTTCCAAAAAAAAAAGAGCCCCCGTGAGCCCTCTCACGGGGGCTCTTTTAGTACCGACGGGGGCTCTTTTTTTAATACAAATTGTCATTGAATTGGTACCCATGAAACTCCTAAATTCCTTGGTATTTTATCATTATCATTTATTTAAGTCGGCATTTTCCCTCTTAAAAATGTACTTGTTACATATAGCTGTTATTGACTTTTATCTCCGTGATGACATTCTCTCCATTTCTTCCCGCTCTGCACATAATGTCCTCCTCATTATTCGGAGCAACCTATACATTCTTTCTTTACTTTTAGTTTTTACCATATCCTTCCAAAACACAGGGGCAGATCTAGCTTTTTGCTAAGGGTGGGGGGTGGGGGGTAACCCAAATACGATGTGGAACATCGTCCACGAGCCGCGTAGCGGCGAGGCGATTTTTGTTGTTGCTATTTTGAACCCCCGTAAGTGATGTTTTCCTGGCATCTACTGAAATCTATTAATTATGTGTAGGTCTGGACACAATGACACATGATAGCATTTTTCTATGCACATCACATTTTCACTCGGCAGCCCAAGGGAGGGGGGGGGGGGATGGTTAAACCCCCTAAACCGCCTAGATCCGCCCCTGCAACATATTTGGTGATCTTCTTCTCAATATTGATTTACTGGTCGAGTTACATTATTTGCTGATTTTTTAGAATAACCAGATTTCAGAGGATTCACACTTTTCACAACGAAAAACTTCTCCATGTTCAGTCCTTGCGCGATCGTCTCCAGCTCCAGCAGATATTGGGCGTCAGCGTGCACACCGGCACTACCGGCGCAGTATAGCCACTGCTGACGGCCGCACTACAGCTGCACTGCGAGCTCTGTTGTTTGTATCGGTAATACTCATAGAGATGTGAGAGAAAGCGCCATCTAATTAGTTCCATTTGATTGGTTTAAGGTTTGAAAATTGATACACAATATTGTGTTAAAGTTATATCAGAAAAGATAATCTTTATTTTAAATTTTCCACGGGGGCGATTTTTAATTTTGCAATCGCCCCCGTGAACCATCTGACGGGGGCGATTGTGGAGCTCACGGGGGCGAATCGCCCACCGCCCCCGTGTATTTTGAGCGTTGATCCTAACCGTAGAGCAAATGTGACCTAGACATTAGCGGCTTATATAGGTACAAGTCACACCACCAAACGGACTCCAAACCGACCGATTCGGGGCCATTCGTGTTTGGTGTGGTGTCGGTCTCGTCGGTGTGACTGTGGTATTAGGGACTTTTAGATTGAGTGGACGAGAACACGACGAACGCCGACTGATCATGCGTGTCAACGTACTTAACTGCCCATGTTGACTACAATTAGAAATCTTTTAGTTTGCACTCGACGATATATATGCATGCAGGAAGTAACACTATGAACATCACGGACAAAGAAAGAGGACAAAATATACAGTTCCTCATTCTACCCTCAACAAAAGAACATCCCTTCACTGCTATTATGTAAACTAGATGGAATTTTGACTGCGCGCAGTCAAAAATGATGCCTCCGCCATAGAGCAACTTTACAAACCAAAACGGAAGCAATTTTTAAAATTCAAGTTTGATCGTAATCCATCTGTCGGTTTTAATAATAATGCATTCACAAGCTATTTATAGTCATACATAATGAGCCCCATGACCTTTGACCTGATGACCCTAAAATCTAATCAGTTAATTGGCTCTGCAAGATACATATATACATGTCTTGAGTTTGATAGTAATCTGTCTATTGGTTCTCATTATAATGCGATCACAAGCTATTTGTGCATACATAATGAGCCCTGTGACCTTTGACCTCGTGACCCCAAAATATAATCAGTTCATTGGCTCTGTTAGATACATACATGACCCAAGTTTGGCAGGAATCCATTGACCGGTTCTTGAGATAACGCGATCACGAGCTATTTTTGTAGACATAATGAGCCCTGTGACCTTCGACCTCTAACCCCAAAATCTAATCAGTCCATTGGCTCTGTTAGATACATACATGACCCAAGTTTGGCACGAATCCATCGATCGGTTCTTGAGATAACGCGATCACAAGCTATTTTTGTATACATAATGAGCCCTGTGACCTTTGACCTCCGACCTCGTGACCCCAAAATCTAATCAGTTCATTGGCTCTGTTAGATACATATATGACCCAAGTTTGGCAGGAATCCATTGATCGGTTCTTGAGATATTGCGATCACAAGCTATTTTTGAATACATAATGAGCCCTGTGACCTTTGACCTTCGACCTCGTGACCCCAAAATCTAATCAGTTCATTGGCTCTGCAAGATACATACATGATCCAAGTTTAGAGAGAATCCATCAATTGGTTCTTGAGATAACGCGATCACGAGAACGGGACGTACGGACGGACGGACGTACGGACGTACGGACGTACGGACGGACGGACAACCAGAAAACATAATGCCTCCGGCTACTTTGTAGCGGAGGCATAAAAATTCTAGAACAGGTAAATATGCATGTGACACCTGTTCTACACATTTTTACATACTAGCAGGGAAGGGATGTTCCTTTGTCTAACTGAGGAACTGTATATTTTATGCGCACGCGGCATACTAGTACCGTGAGCATGTAAAGGCGCTATATAAATATCAATATGTATGTTTGTATGTACTAGATTTAGGAAAATCAAGGTTGACGCATTCTCGATCGCTGACTGAGACGACGTAACGCATGCGCAGTGCCTTAAAATGACGTCACACGTTGCAGTCAAAGCTGTCGACGTGCAAATCTAAAAGTCCCTATTGCGGTAGTAACATGACTCGTAATAATAGTTGTATATCGCATAATACCTAATGAAATAACATCTCTATGCGCTTCCAAAGAGCTTTGGACTCGTTAGGGGTGCTTGCTGCGCCGTGTTTTCTTTCACAAAATGAAATCGAGCCTACGTTGACGTTTACGGTTGGGTCTCCCTGTGGTTTAGGAATTTTAACAACTCACCATAGAGTGCACGGATTCCGGCTATGTCATCAAGTTGGAGCGGTTGTTCATTGTAGTATGCATACATCAGGGAATTGGTGTCTTGAGAATGGCTCAAACCTAGACTGTGGCCCAATTCATGCAATATCACAAAAAGGAACCCATCGTCGAAACTTACTGTTCAAAAAGAAGATGAAAAAGAATTGGTGAACTTTCTCATTCTTTGTAAGTCACATCCATGGGCGTCAATCCTTACGTAATACCTATTGTTCAGGGGGGATGAATGAATAGATCACCCCCTGAACAATAGGTATTACGTAAGGATTGGCGCCCATGGTCACATCGTAAGATTAATAGCAGAACATAATGACTCCTTATTAAAAAAGACTGCTCATTAAATGCCGTCCAGTGACTAAAAATAGCTCTAAATTTTGCACAAAACTTTCATGCCACTGGTGTGTAGTCCCGTATGCGCATTTTCGGTTTAATCTAGAAACTCAATTCTTATTCACTACAATTAAACCAGCCTTTCCTAACTGCAGACAGTTTCTATCTCCGACATACACTTCAATAGTATTACATTGTGTGTTTCACATATTATTATGTTATGTGGTTTGGAAATGTTTACTTATTTTAATATCTTAATAATTATGTTAATATATCAATGGTACATAACATCATCTGTGCAGTTCAAAGACTAAATTGCATGGTTTCAACAGTTTACAATGTATATACATGATAAGAGCAATTATACAATAATTATTAAAACAGTCTAAGCAATCAACATTGAAATTCAAATAAAAGTGATCAAATGGAAAAATGATGGCAACTATCGTTAAGTTCGATTAATAAGCAATGAAAATCTTAAAGTGGAAATTCAAAGAAAATCACAAATATGTCAACTAATGTATCACTAGAAACTGGTAAGCTAACAGATGTCCGTCGTACAAGTTGTAGGTCAACTACATATCGGGTGATTTATAAAAATACAAATACAACCACGGAACCACCTCCATAGCAGCTGGAATAAACGAGAGATTCGGCGGAAAAATAACGATGTTTTAATGACGTCACTATATGGACCAATACTGCCCAAGCAGACGAAATCCCATAAAGAATGAACATAATTGCAAAGTTATTATTTGTCAAATTATAATGAGTTTAATGTATATAAATGAAATGGCATATCAAACCATTCAACAGGGATTATGACCCGATTCTGATAACTAAAATCTTTTGCTTGTAAATACACAGGATAGGGGTTGATTAACAATCAAAGAAACCAAATTTTTAAATTGAAAACCCCCGGAATGATATTGAGGACGGCATTTGTTCCCTCTTGAATCGCCGAACATACCGCGGTATGTGCAGCTGAATGCGTCTTATTTTGTTTACAAGGGACAGATTCCTTTATTTTTGTATCGCTGCATTTGTCATCAAAATAAAACCATGCGCGGGGTTTAGAGTGAGGCAATAGATTATACATTTAGTCTGATGGTAGTGAAGTCAGGCGCGGATCCAGGATTTCTTAGGGGGGGCCCCACTTTTTTCGCAACGACTCAGCCAGCCGCTGAATAAGCGGGAGGGGGGGGGGGGGGGGAGGGGGGGGGGGGGGGGGTAAGAGGACACCCTTTTTTGGTCTCAAAATTTGAAAATTTGACATTCTGTTCCGTTGGGGGGGGGGTGAGGTCAGCCATTGGCATAATTTTTTTTGTTTAATTAAAAAAAAAAAAAAAAAAAAATCACAAAAGGGGGGGGGGGTTTGCTCCAAGATACACACATATAAAAAACCGAAGGGGGGGTTCAACCCCGAACCCCCCCCCCCCCCCCCCCCTGCGTACGCGCCTGCTCGTCTGAATACAGTTTTTCCCCTCCCGCGCGAAGCGCGGAAGCTTTTACGTTTCATTAAATCATTAGAGAAAGAAGACGATTCGTTGTACCGTTTTTTACTCTTAATCCTCGTCTAAATTCAGTTCCCCCCCCTCCCATCCGCGCGCGCGAAGCGCGGAAGCTTTTACGTTTTATTAAATCATTAGAGAAAGAAGACGTTTCGTTGTACCGTTCTCGACTCTTAATCCTTGTCTAAATCCAGTTACTTGGTTGGGTCCCGGGGGCAGAGCCCCCAGAAGGAGCCCCCGGAAGCTCAGGGGTTTTAGGCGTTGAAATACGGTCAGATGAGCAATTTTTGATACCTTATTTTGTTGTGACACTGGTAGTTAAAGGTAATACAAAGTTTTGGTATGGAGTCATGAATTTGGTTCAAATGAACATATTGGATGCATATGCAATCCTACAATATTCAGTGATCGTTGTCGCGGTTGAAATCGAGTTTAAAGTTATGAAATTGTTAATAATACACTCTTTTTGTTGTGTAGCTCCCTCTCAAGGTCAAGATTTTAATTAAGCTATAAAACAATGTTTCTCGACTAAAATCGACCAATTAGCTATTACCGTTTGGAAATTATATATCACAACTACATATTCTGAGATGTTCATGATCGCAGCTACCATTCCACGGCCGTATATAGGCGCTTTTTGAAATTCATCAAAATTTACCGGGAACACCGGTAAATGTTTATATTCAACTTTTCTCGAAAGCAGAAGTGTTTTAGAGGCTAAATTTTCTAGTGCTTATAATACATCCACAGGGGCATCCAAATATATCCGAATTGTAAAGAATCACTATCCACCCAATTTTCAAAATTTCCCAAAACTTTGTATTACCTTTAACTATTCTTTCTTTCTTGCTCTCTTTCTTTCTATTTCTCTTTAAAATGCTTTTCAAAAAAAATTGGGGGGGGGGGGGGGGGGGGGGGGTGAGCTGGAGGCTCCCGATCCCCGCCGTTCCGCGGGCCCTGACATGTAGGCATCTCAAGCATATTCCTTGCCTGGCTGTTAATTTACAAACGCATAACAAAGTATAATTTACTAAAGAATGAGGAAAAATCTCGGAAAATTATGTCATTTCAGCATTATGTGTAAACCACCGTTATGGAATTAGAAATAAACCACGTTAAAATTTCATTTCCCCCGAGCCCCCTCCCCGATCAATACGCCAGTGCCCCGCCCCCCGCCCCCCCCCCCGATCTACACTTTGTTGGCGGAAAAATCGCAACTGATCTCCCCTACCATTCTTATTTCTCTTTTTTTTCTTTCCCTTTCTCTCCTCTTTCCCTTTCCCTTCATTTCCTTCTCTCTCTTTAAGGTTTGATGGGGGGGGGGGGGGGGGGGAGGGGGAGGCAAGGTCATTTCGTCCCCCACCCTTTTCCACACGTTGTTGGCAGGATTAACTGCAAATGATCTATTTCCCCTTCTTTTCACCTTTTTTTCCCGGCCCCTTTTTTTTTTTCCTTCTTTTTTTTCCCTTCTTTTTTTTTCCTTCTTTTTTTTTCCTTCTTTTTTTTCCTTTCTTTTTTTTTCCTTCTTTTTTTCCTTTTTTTCCCCCCTGGATCCGCCACTGAGTGAAGTAAGAGTAAGAACTCAAGAGAAGATGAAAAAACAGGCACTGAAAATGTGGAAGATGTCATGGGACATCGTCTGCTTGTGCAAATCATGTCCATACTGTGATCTCACACATCTCAGCAGCGTTCGGAGAGCTCTTCAGGTGCTATGCCGGGGCTGTTTTTAAGCGGTTTGTAGTTTATAATAATCATTACTTCGAATGTTTCCAAGCATTGAATTTTGATAACCTTTTCGAATCAAAGTTTCAACTTCGCAATAATGAAAATAAACTTAGTTTTTAAAATCAATGAATATCTACTTTAACTGAAACATATTCAGGGAAGTATCCCCCTTCTTTTGTGTGTGTGTGTGTGGGGGGGGGGGGGGGTCCTGCGTTATAATTGCGAGGAAAGGGCTCGGAAATTCGTTTAAATTAGTGGGATTTCGCTTTCTACACCGGCTATAACATTCCCATAATAAATTAATATATATGAATAGTAAGATAGCAATTCAAGAGAGAACTTTCGAACTTCATTATATAGATATTTAATTACAAAAATCATTAGACACAGCGAGTTTCATTCAATTTGATTGTGGGATAGACAGTTCTTTTTTGACACAAGCACTTCATTTTCAATCATTAAAAAGTGTTACATGTCTACAAGACAAACCAACCCCAATGTATTGCGTCGTTTAAGTGAACATCGCCTGCGATGGGTCCTAAAAGGTCGACAGGCAAGAATGCATGGGCTAAATCAGTCCCATCGAAAGGCAAGCCATCTCCATGGTCACCAGAGACGAAGCTAATGGCAATGTCTGCATTAGCCGGGTCTGCCGTGTATTCAAAGGTAAGGGCCGACACATCGCTCCACCACTGTATTGTTAAAAAGAAAAGGAAAGAAAAAGAAGAAAAAATACTATTATTAGAATACAATGAGAAAATGACATTGAAATCTGTGAGTCACACCCCTCCCCCGCAATAGTTCATTCCCCAATGAACCTGGATCAAACCATCCATATACCCCAGATACACCGCAAAACCGACTTCAAACTGAATCTACACCGATCGATTCTTGGTAATTCTTGGTAATTCTTGGCCCCCGTCTTATAAAGAGTTGCGATTGTTTCGGATCAAGCGTAAGTCCTCTAATCAATAGCTATTTTGCCTTCTCCTATCTCTCATGTACGTACTTGCGCCTGATATCAAAAGCAAATAAGGTGCGATTAATCGATCGCAACAGTTGATATGACAGGGCTCTGGTCAGGCGAATACAGGATTTTCCATTGGGGGGGGGGGGGGGGGGGGGGGGGTAGTGAGCACTATAAAAAAAAAAATTGCCTCCGGAAATTTGAAAATCGTGAGCACTAAATTAACCAAACCCCCTAAAAAAGGTAAATTTGTGGTTACCATCTTGTTTCGGGCCAGGGGTGGGGCCCGACTTTTCTTTTGCCAGAGGGGGGGGGGGGGGGGGGGGGGCGGGGGGCGGGGGGGGGGGGGACGGGCCTGTCGGCCATGGATCCGCGCCTGGCTCTGGTATCGATCTTTTCGGTGCAACTGGGGTAAAAGATAGCTATAAGTAGCTTGCTTACCCGCCCCCCCCCCCACTCAGTGTTATTTAGGGTACGCATATGCGTGTTCCCTCCTTTTGAAAACACCCCCTAAGTCCGGTGTGTAAAGTCAATTTTGTGTATGTACGAGCCGGACTTTGGTGCGTGAAAAGTACCCCTTTACCGGACATTTTGGTGACACGCATGCGGTCATTCCGACCCCGGAGTGGGGGGGGGGGGGCGGGCTTGCACACATCTAGTTTCACTATCGGTATGGTCCGTCACGCAGTTTACCTGTCCCGGACGATAACTACCGTCAGTTATCGTCAAAACGTACAATTTTAGCGGTGCCCGACGCCGGTGATAAGGCAATTACAATACTCAAGTTTCAGATTTAATTTTGAACTTAATTGAATAAATCGAGATTGATTAAATTTTAATGTAAAAAGATGTTTTTCCCCCTTTACATCTCGAGTATGAGGGGGCTCCAAATATTGGTTTGGTGGGATTTGTTGTTAGTCTTACAACCCTACCCCTGCTAGAAGGTCTATCCCTGGCTAGCAATACTCTTGTTAAAGCTTTCTACAACATGTTCTATGTGCAGTAACGGGCAATGGCACAGGGTAGAAAATACAATAAGGAGAGGAAATTAAACACTCAAACTTTGATTTACAACCCTGTAACCCAAATCTGTAGCAATGTAATAGTTGAAGTTTCCCTGGATCAGGTCATGTAGTACATGTGGTTAAATCAAACCCAGCAACCAGTGATCTTGGTCGTCAAGTTATACTAATGCAGCAGTGAATTATCGACACAGTCCTTCATACATGACATAGGTTAATTAACTTGGCCTAGGAGTGAAATAATAATAGAACCTTGAATGCTAAATTGCACATATGTCGCTGCTCAGCTGCTGTTATGTCGGATTCGTAGTTTAAGATTCCCCATGTCAAATGAAGCTTGTCCCACTTGTATGACGTAGTCACAAAACGCTTCGTCCTTCTTCCGTTCTCATCGGCTTGCACGTCCGGTAGACCGCAGCGAGGCATGTGTAGCAAGGCCATGGTCTCCTTATCAAGTTCACCTAATAGATAGGCAAATTATAGTAGAGGCATGTTTACTGTAGGGTCGTTCCTTTCATTTTTACAACAAACCTTAAAACATACAGGCAACAGTTTTAGCGTAATGGCATTTATAAGTAATGGCATTTATAGTTAGCCAAGGACTTTGAGGACGTTGAGCCAGGAAGAATCAAAGTCAGGCGCGTACGCAGGGGGGGGGGGGGGTTGGGGTTAACCCCCCCTTTTTATGTGTATGTTTTGTGTATATGTTTTGTGAAGAAAAAAAAAAACCTTTTTATTTTTATTTTTTTATATATAAAAAAAAAAAAAAAAGTGACCTTATCCCCCCCCCCAACGGAACAAAATGTCAAATTTTCAAATTTCGAGACCAAAAAAAAAAGAAAGTGTCCGCTTACCCCCCCCCCTCCCTTCCCGAAAAGTATACGTTTTTTGCATTAAACTTTCGCCCTTTGATGAATTATTATAAATCTTTTGGTGAGGTCGCGTAGCGAAGGAGCGATAAATTGTATCGTTTTGTAGTTTGGAACTTGCTTTATATAAGGCACTTGTATCACTCAAGGAAATTAAGGTCTGAGCTCAATATACATTCCCTGATTTACTCACTTATGGCGATATCCAGCATTAAGTCATAATTCAGACTTTTCCCCCAATTTCCAAGGGACCACCCCTAATCGACTTTCAGTCAGACCACAGCGCATATACTAATGAGGGTTCTGGGAAGAGGTGAACAATAATTTGTGAGCGTTATCATTCTTATTATGCAAGTGTGGAAGAACATCAGATAAGACATGTTCCCTGAAAAGCATGGCTCTTCAAATGTCTTCATATTCTAAATATGTCATGTCTGACATCGTAAAACTCGGGGGGTAGGTTTTTCTACGCCACGTGTTCGTGTAGTCCCATATACATCTTTCTGTGTACAGTGTTCGTAACTTTACCAAGACTTGGCCAATTTCTTATCATTTTGATGATTCCAGAACCTTGCAATACACACAAATTCTTATACACTAGATGATCAACCTTTTCTGGTCGATTCCACAACGTTTCTTTCACAATGCAATCGCATGACCAGAACTCAACTTCATCTTTAAAGTTAAAATTTCTTTAGCGGCTCGTTCACGAACTTGACCGATTTGCGTGCGCTGAACAAGGCGTGATTTTGAATAGAGAATGTAATCTTCAGTTGTCATGGCGGAATGCAATAATTTCAGACTTAATATCAGAATCTTGTCTTCATATGCAAATACCTAATGTAACATAATCCATAATTGTTTAAGTATTATTTTCACAATATAAATTGTCTGGAATTTTGCAACTTATTCATCAGCGGTTTTGCATAGTGATTTTTTGTGTGCTCCCTATAACGGGTCCCTAACACAGTTACAAAAGCAAATGGTAAAACTCGAATGGCCTACCAGAGAAATAATTCCAGTGAACAACTGTTGTGAGATTGAAGGTGACGAAATGTAATTTGATTACGAAATTAGCATTAAAATATGAAAAATATTCGAAAGTATTGGTTTAAGTAACAAACAGTTAGGCATTTATATCTCATAGCTTGTTTAGTAATTGCTTTTTATTACGTTCTTGTTTACAGTTTTCACAGAATGATGAAATGAAATATTTGGAAAGAGGAATACGAAATAAATGAAATTGATAAAAAATGAAGGAACAAAATGTGAAGCTGTGACATTCCAAATATAAGTGCGACATTCCCGTAAACACCTTGTCTGACTTGATTATTGCATCCTACCACAACTACAATTAACTATACACCCAGTGCGTGGTCCTAATGGCGCACATACTGGGCGTAAATCCTAGTTTGAGGCGTATACTCCTGAACAAATTCTTGGGGGTGTTTCACAAAGATCTTAAGGTGAACTTATCTCTAAGTTGCACTTAACAATTATGGAGAGCCGTTAGCATCTATGAAAATAATTTTTTAAAGCATAACATTTTGATTCAAATCATTCATATTTTATATTATCAAGGAAATTTGTATGTTCTTTATGTGGAATTGATTAATAGTCTAAAATACTTCAATTTCACTTTTGAATATATTTTATTATAAGGCTACAGATGGCTCTTCATAACTTTTAAGTCCAACTTAGAGTTAAGTCCCTCTCTTGCTCTGCCTCCCTCTCCTTCTCTTGCTCTGTCTCTGCATCTCTCTCTACTCTTTCACCCTCTCTCTGTCTCCCTTTCCCTCTCCTGCTCTGCTTCCCACTCCTTCTCTTGCTCTGTCTCTGCATCTCTCTCTTTACTCTATATCACCCTCTCCCTCTCTCTGTCTCCGTCTCCCTTTCTTGCTCTGTCTCTGCATCTCTCTCTCTCTTTACTCTATCACCCTCTACCTCTCTCTGTCTCCGTCTCCCTATCTTGCTCTGTCTCTGCATCTCTCTCTCTTTACTCTATCACCCTCTCTCTCTCTGTGTCTCCGTCTCCCTATCTTGCTCTGTCTCTGCATCTCTCTCTCTTTACTCTATCACCCTCTCTCTCTCTGTGTCTCCGTCTCCCTCTCTTGCTCTGTCTCTGCATCTCTCTCTCTTTACTCTATCACCATCTCCCTCTCTCTGTCTCCGTCTCCCTATCTTGCTCTGTCTCTGCATCTCTCTCTCTTTACTCTATCACCCTCTCCCTCTCTCTGTCTCCGTCTCCCTATCTTGCTCTGTCTCTGCATCTCTCTCTCTTTACTCTATCACCCTCTCTCTCTCTCTGTCTCCGTCTCCCTATCTTGCTCTGTCTCTGCATCTCTCTCTCTCTTTACTCTATCACCCTCTCCCTCTCTCTGTCTCCGTCTCCCTCTCTTGCTCTGTCTCTGCATCTCTCTCTCTTTACTCTATCACCCTCTCTCTCTCTGTGTCTCCGTCTCCCTATCTTGCTCTGTCTCTGCATCTCTCTCTCTTTACTCTATCACCCTCTCTCTCTCTCTGTCTCCGTCTCCCTATCTTGCTCTGTCTCTGCATCTCTCTCTCTTTACTCTATCACCCTCTCTCTCTCTCTGTCTCCGTCTCCCTATCTTGCTCTGTCTCTGCATCTCTCTCTCTTTACTCTATCACCCTCTCTCTCTCTCTGTCTCCGTCTCCCTATCTTGCTCTGTCTCTCTCTTCTTATCTTGCTATGTCTCCCTTTGTCACTGCCTCTCCATAACAGACCACCTCATTCGCCTTTCAAGTGATGAATTCATCTAGTTTTACTTTTATATCATCTTTCACGTAAAATAAGATGTGCGCTATAACATCGAAGCCGTGATTATCATGCGTAGGCAGATTTGCCTAAATGCTATAAGCACGCGAGAAGAGATTGAGCTAAATTGGGAGATGA